GACAAAGATTTGTCCTGACTGTGGGCAAAGCAGGAAAACTCTAGCAACAGGCCCACAGCTGGGTTACATGACTTTGTGTGTCATAGTAGGCCCACAGCTGGGTTACATGATTTTGTGTCATAGTAGGCCCACATCTGGGTTATATGACTTTGTGTGTGTCATAGTAGGCCGACATCTGGGTTATATGACTTTGTGTGTGTCATAGTAGGCCCACAGCTGGGTTATATGACTTTATGTGTGTGTGTCATAGTAGGCCCACAGCTGTCTGTGCAGCTCATTTTCCTGTCTCCCCTCTCAAGGCTTTCATGGGTCTGAATCATGGGAACTATGGCTTGCTCTTTTAGATGTGAGCAAGCAAGGTAATAGCGAAGGAGCTTTGGAGTAAAGTTTATACCCTGGGGAAGTCTAAAATCATCTGATAACTTTGCACCTCTGAATAGAATAGAATAGAATAGAATAGAATAGAATAGAATAGAATAGAATAGAATAGAATAGAATAGAATAGAATAGAACACAACAGAAGACTGTAGGAGAGCTCCCTGCAAGGCCAGTGAATGGGGGCCAAGTAGCCAATTCTTTCCCATCTGCTGAAACATCTCAGTATCTCTTGAGGTGGGAACCAGAGCTTCTCGACTATGGAGAGTCTGATGACAGACAGAAAGAGCAAGATAGAGGAGCTAGCATGGGTGTTTAGTAGGAAATGTTTGAGTTTTCAGACAGTAAAATGTGGACTAAGAGTATGGTAAGTGTTGGAGCCAAGTCATTCTGTTGTGCAGAGTCAGGAGTGATCTCGACTCCCAGAGAGACCACCGAAGATGAGCTTACCAGAATGCAAAAGCAAAGCTTTATTGGGGAGCAATACAAGCCTAGACAGGGACCCAGTCAAGCCATCCAACACAGTGGAGGCTAGAGGAGGTGCCCGCCCCCTTGCAAGCTCAGTTTTTAAAGGCAAAAACCACAAGCTTACATCAATTAGGGGTGCTAGTACAGGTACAATTCTGATTGGCTCACTTCTAGGGACGTTCTAGAAATCATAGCTTAATCTTATTTCTAATGGTTGCCTGTCACCATTTCTCATTGGCTGCCCGCAGGTTGGGACATTCCATGGTTAAACAGTCACTACCAGATGGTTAACTTGATATCGGCAGTTCTGAGAATTTGAAACTCAGGCCTGTTTCAAACTGGGGTTAGGGGCTTGCTTAAAATGGAGGTGCTTTGGTTCTTCGGTTTAGCCAGTATAGCACTCTGGGTGGGAGATACAGCTCAGTTGGCAGAGTGCTTGCTAATATGCACCTGGGGTTTAATGCCCAGTACTACATAAACTGAGCACGGTGGCCCACACCCATAGTCCCAGCACTTGGGAGATAGAGACAAGAGCTTGTAAGGAGTTCAGGATTATCCGGGGCTATGTTGTGAGTTTGAGGCCAGCCTGGGGTTTCTGTCTCAAATAAAACACAGTCTAGCATCACGCTAGAAAAAGCAGGTTCTTATTCACAGAACATTTTAAAAATGACCTGGATACAAGCTAGGAGTCTGTATTTAACATAATCTCCAGCTATTCAGTGACGGGTTGAGTACGCAGCTGTTAGTACATTGTTTTTGCCCCGCAAAGGCAGAGGTTATATGTGTCTTGCTTACTTTTTCATCCTTGATGATAGTTCAGTCATAACCCACGGGGCTCTTATCAGTTTGGAGTAAGCATTTATTCATTTCTTTAAGACTTATTTTTATGTGTATGGATGTGTTGGTTGCATGTCTGTCTGTGTACCACAAGCGTGTCTGGTGCCCACGGAGGCCAGAAGAAGGTGTCAGATTCCCTAAGACTGGGGTTACAGACAGTTGTGAGGTGCCATGTGAGTGTTGAGACTCAAACCTCTGTCCTTTGGGAGAGCAGACAGTGCTCTTAACCCCTGAGTCATCGCTCCAGCCCAAAAGGTGCAAGGGAGGGGACCTGCTAACACCCCCAAAATGGGCGCGCCCACTTCTTCCCATATAAAAGCAACACCTTTCCCATGTCACACATGTAGCCCTCCCGCTGACCGAGAAAGACAGTGTGAAGGAAACATGAGAGTAAAGATAAATGGGAACACAGACTCTGACTCTGCAGGTGTCAACTTCCGGTCTCACTTCTGCTGACTCACTCCCTGCCTCCCAGGCTCTTGCTCAGGCTCAGAAGTTAGGCCTGATGACAGGTGAGTGATGGATTCTCAAACCTTGCCCAGGAACCTAGCTCAAAGGCATACTGTCTGTCATCATGTCATCTCAGCGAAATGAGAGTCATCTATCTTTCTGGATATACAGGAGACTTCAAGTTCAAAGAATGAGGAACCTGAAGGCTCTGAAGCCTGGAGAAGCAAATATCCCAGATAATAAAACACCGGGAAGGGGAGGTTTCCAGAAATTCACATGTTATGATTTGAATTCACTGGGAGAAACCAGGACTTAGACTCAATTCAAATTTAGATTGGATGAATTCATTCTTACTGCTGGCAGAAGGGCGACAGCCTTAGAGTCAATACAGCATGCCATGCGGGAGGGGGGCTTAAGGTGGAGGTTTTAAGGTGGACATCAGAAAGATGCACATGCCATGGAATCCACAGCTGGGCAGGAACATTGTTTTACTTCCTTTCCTGCTATATATAGTAATAAAAAGACCATTCCATCCCTTTCCCATATCGATAAGCAGGTTTTACAGAAGCAAAGGCAGCTGTTAATGCCTCCCAGCCCATTATACTATTCTTATCTCACCTGCAGGCCACTAGGATCTCCAGACATTCCAGAGCAAGAGGTCAATGGCCCTTAAGGGATGCCTGGCTCCATATTACGTTTCTTTAGTCATCACGGGGGAACCTGTGTAAATTATTACTCAGGTCTGAGCACTCTAGTGACTGGGATAGAGCAGTTCATTTCTGGGCAGGCAAAAACACAGTGCCATCAGGTTAGGGCTGGCTGTCACGTCCCCACATATGACTCCCTTGTAAACCCACTGAGGCCGCTGAGGGCAGGGGCTGGGAATCCAGGTTCAGTGACTACCTCTGGGTCAGAAGCTCACTTCTCAGTGTGGCAGCTCCGTCCTGGGCCCCTTGTGTATGTCCCCAAAGATAGAAGAAGCGACTTCGGGGCTTCACTGTCTGGGTCTGTCCCACAGGACCTGTAGCCACATCCCTCCCTGCCTGCTCTTTACAGAACTGGCCACAGAAGCCTCCTGACCTCAGTGTGTGACTCCAAGCAGTTGTCTCCATAGCAACAGGATGGCCCCTGAGCAAAATGACAAAGGCACACTCTGTGGGTGGGGCTCAGTTGTGTCTCTGGGCCTGGAGTCAAAATTGAAGTCACTGCCAAGAGGCCAGAGTGGGCAAATCCTATCCGTTCTACTTCCTAATATTATCAAGACTCTGACCAGGAGACTTAACTCTTCTGTCCTTGACTCCTGCGCTCTTTTCCAAAGTGAACCCATCAAAACTCAGTTCAGGCCATGGCAGCAGTGGTGAACACCTTTAGTCCCAGCACTTGGGAAGCAGAGGCAAGCAGATCTCTGTGAGCCTGGTCTACAGAGCGAGTTCTAGGACAGCCAAGGCTACACACAGAAACTGTCTCGAGAGAAAACCAAAACAACCCCGCCCCCCCCCCAAAAAAAAAACCTCAATTCAGATCATGTCCCTCTTCAAGCCCTCCAGGGCTGGATATGGGTGCTGGGATCTGAATTCAGATCATGTCCCTCTTCAAGCCCTCCAGGGCTGGATATGGGTGCTGGGATCTGAATTCAGATCATGTCCCTCTTCAACCCCTCCAGGGTTGGATATGGGTGCTGGGATCTGAATTCAGATCCTCAGGTTTGCACAGCAAACTCTCCCCACTGAGTCATCCCCCGGTCGCCACACTATCCTGTTTTCACATGATCCTAGAGACCACATTGAACATTCAAGTGTCCATTTTCATTCTTTGAGATTCTTTCCCCTACGCATGAAGGTGGGTTCTGCTGGCTGGCATGCTGGAACTTGGAATATCCTACCCTCCACTCAACAGGTCACGCCAAGGCAAAAACTGGACCTAGTGGATTTGGTCTGTTCCTTTTTACTAGAAAGGCAGATCCAAATACAGATACGTGTTCTTGTCTATGGCTATACCACCCTGAACTCGCCTGATCTCATCAGATATCCACAAGGTGGAACTGGAGCCCCAGTGTCTGGCCACAGGTGCCCCAGGCCAATGGGTAAGAAATTATGCAGTTGCTGTGGAGACCAGAAGCATCACTTCACAATGAAAGAGAAAAACCATATAGCTGTAGTTCACAGCAGCAGCCCTACCTCAGATCCTATTCCTTAAGGCCACCTGAATATCCAAGTCCCAGGTTTTATGTGGCTTTTTTTTTTTTTTTGGTTTTTTGAGACAGGGTTTCTGGTTTCTCTGTGTAGCTTTGCGCCTTTCCTGCATCTCACTCTGTAGACCAGGCTGGCCTTGAACTTACAGAGATCCATCTGGCTCTGTCTCCCGAGTGCTGGGATTAAAGGCGTGCGCCGCCACCGCCGCCGCCGCCACCACCACCACCACCTGGTTGTGGCCATCTTTTATTCCTCCAATGAGATGTTCCATTCTGATTTTGATTCTCTTTTGCATGCTAGGGATCAATCCCAAACCTTGTACCTGCTACCAGTGTGTTTTACCACTGATCTACATCCCAGCCCTAAATGCCCTGTTTTGAATAAGATATGTCAAGTAGCTTTCAAATACTTCTAGCCAAGGGAGCTTGACTCAGAAGTGAGGTACTGACGTAGGATCATGCAGACTGAGAAGCATGAATGAATGGGGCTCATTCATTTCTGTGGCTGCCATTTCACTAGGGCTTTTTTCTTCTAGGCAGGCAGGGATGTGCGGGAATCCACCACCAGACCCATCGCCTCACTTCCACTTTTTCCACACAGGGCATTTTGCTATGGAAAATGAGGCCAGGCTAACATTCAGAGCAGCTGGGAAGTTGAGGCTGGGGGAGAAGCAGAGAGAGGTCAGCATTGTTCGGAGTGTCAGAATGAGGCATCGCTGGTGAGTGCAATTTTTTACTGAGTGTTAAGTTGTAGCGGGAGCAAATAGAGCCATCTCCATAGTGACAAGGCAGACAGGTAAAGGAGAGAGGCCAGTAGGGAGAGGGAATAGTTTAGTCTTTTAAATGGGGCTTTAGCCACAAGATTCCCAGATCCAAACCATGTTCCTCATCAAGGACACTGTACCTCCCAGGCTTGGTCCAGCCATGCAATCCAGCCAGGGTGAGACCTGGAAAAGTGGGTCCAAGGTTTCTTTGGGCAGATCCATTCACGGCAGCAGCTCCCTTGGAACCGCTTGTAGGCTGCAGTTCCTGAAGCTCTTGTCTATTGCCTCTGTTTATTTCTCTAATTTGTCAAGGGCTGTCTGCATACTCCAGGCTGCCTCCTAAGCGCTCAGCCTCTGTTTCACCTCACAGGCTTCACCAATTCGATTAGCGCACTTTATACTCCATCTTCGGAGTCATTAATGAAAATACTGCTGAATGCTAAGTATAAGTCAAGTCCCTGGGGCCCGATGCCCCTTCATCCTCTAGCCTAGCTAACAATCTTCATTTCTGATCATCTTCACCTATTGTTCCAGGATTCTTCCCCCCCTTCTCTTCTCATTCACTCATCAATTCAATCACTCATTTGTTCACTTGCTAGGATGGAGACTTGGATCAGGACATCATGTGCAAGGAAAAAAAAAGAAAGGCTTAACTACTTACTGCAAGCTATTACTATGGTGAGGTGCCTTGGGGCGGCAAAGAAGTACTGGATAGACTCCGGCCCTCAGCAATAAAAATGGAAGCCTAGCAGCTGCCGCTGACAGAGCGCTCTCCAGGTGCCTGGCTAATTTTGTACAGATAGTAAGAAGCCCATATTGGACATGGCCCACACTACTGAGGCAGCTGTTGCTCAGGATTAAAACTACTGATTCTAACTGGGCGGTGGTGGCACATATCTTTGATCCCAGCACTTGGGAGGCAGAGGCAGGTGGATCTCAGTGAGTTGGAGGCCAGCCTGGTCTAGAAAGAGAGTTCCAGGACAGCCAGGACTGTTATATGAAGAAACCCTGTCTCAAAAAACAAAAAACAAACAACAAAAAAAGACCCCTACTGATTCTCAAGTCAAAGCGTTCATTATGGCTCTCTCGCTGGCTTCTCTGCCTGGAGTGGCCCTTTGTAAAATGAGGGTACTCTTTCCTCATGGGGCTGTTGTGGGGACTTAAATTATTCAATAAGATAATGGAGAAAAGATATTTGAAGTACTGCCCAGCATATAATATGCATTCGATAAATGATGGCGATTATTATTTAATGTAATACGACTGTCCCATGTCAGATATTGCAATCTGGGTTCTGTCAGCAAGAAGGCTGATTTTTATGCTAATTTACCCAAAATTCTACAGATGATCGTGAGATAATGAGACCACTCTACCAACTCCAGACTGTTTGATTCCAGATTCCGTTTTGTTTTCTCGTTGCAACCTGGAGAGAAAGAAAACATGCATCAATAATTATTTCACAAGCTGGGAAAGCAAAGGGGACTACAAAGCACAGGACATTCTCACCACACAAAGCACCAGGTGGTACCAGGTGGTGGTGATGATAAAGATGAGGAAGAGGAGGGGGACACAACAGTCATGGTGATGATTATGGTGGCCTCGGTGGTGGTGGTGGTGGTGGCGGCAGCAGCGGCAATGATGATGATGATAAAAGCCTGCCATATTAAAGTTTAAAAGAAATGTTAAGATGCCAGAAGACAGAAAGGAGTTATTTATTACGTGCATAGGCAGGGGCTCACTCTCTGGCTCAGGCTGGAATTCTCCCACTTCCGTATCAGAAGTGCTGGGATTGTGGGTACGCGCCACCACACTTGGCTAGAGAGGGCTCATTTCTGGGCAGAGGAATAGGTGGAGACCTTCATGGAGACAGTGGCATTTGAATAGTCTTAAAGAATGGGTGGGACTTAGACACAGCAAGGAACGGGACATCCTATGGAGAGAAAAAAATTTCATGAGCAGAGGTATGCAGACAGGAATGCTTAGGATGTGTTTAGAAATTTCATCTTGGCTCCAACATGGTAGGTGAAAGGAAATAGCCGGGACTGGGCTAGTGAAGAAGGAGTCATAGCTACATTAATAAATGAAGCCTTGGAAAACACATTGGTCAAGGCATAGAGATTTCTCAATACTCAGTCGAGGGAAAGGCCAGAGTTCTTATGCAATGGGTATTCAGGGTAGAGACTAAGCAAGACTGCCATGTAGCCTACTCACATGTATATAATTACAGATGGTTAAAAATACTAAAGTGTTTTTGCTTTTGTTTTGTTTTTTTCCAGGCACCTCCTTGAGCCACCCAAGACCTCCTGCTCTGACTCCAGGACCTCCTTGACAGCCTGCCATGAAATGATTAATGCCTGGCACTATGCATGAAAAGTTATCTTTTGACTAGGGACTTGGGGGCACTTTTTGCTAGGATTTTACTCAAGGTTGAAAAAAGGATGGGGGGGGCAGGTAGGGCGTTGCTGCTAGATCATGGGAAAGCCAACAGAGTGACCAGTGCACACCAGCCTTGGCTCTTCCTTGCTCGAGCTCCCTGCCAGTAACTCTCTGTCTGCTGAGTCACTAGGGCTGCGGTCTACTGGCCACGTGACTGACCTGTTGTGTGGGAGTCTGTCTCCTTCTTCCTGAGCCCATGGAGAAAAGGTCTATATGGAGACTCCGGCCTTGCCGTCACTTGAGGTATAGATAGATCTGACTGTTCTTTTGAGTTCCTGGTTTTTCTGTGGCTCCTAGCATCCGATTGACCTGTTCCTGTCATTAGCTCGGCAAGGCTGTAGAAGATACCCGAGTATGATCCCTCCGAGTTGCTTCTTGGCAGCTTTTGCTCAGGCATAACCTCCAGGCACCTCTCCACTCCTCCCAGCATAGCGCCCTGGGGCGTGAGTCCCAACTAGGAGAGGATGCTTTGGGTCGGCTCTAGCCTCCACTGTGTATAACGTTTCCTATTCGAAGCGGTAGCCTTCATCATCCCTATGGTTAAGCTTGGTTTGCTCCCTCCCCCACCACTCCACCTCCCCCACCCCACCCCACCCCACCCCATTACCTCCTCCAGCTTACATTTTACAAAAGAGAACCATAAGCAGGGAGGGAAGGGTCCCCAAGGTAGAGCAGTGTCTGATGACTCTGGAGACCACAAACATGAGTGATGCTCCAGGATGAATGGTGCTCATGAACCCTTTGTGTGGTGGCCCTGCGTACCATCTAGTACTCCGCCCTTGAAGAGACAGACGGTCTGCTATCGAGACAGGACCCAGGAAGGATGTCCTGGGTCTGCAAATTGGCTCACTTGCAGGGTGAAGATATTATTTCTCTTTCAAATTATTTTGAAACTTGGATTATTTATTCATTTTATTTTATGTACGAGTGTTTTGCCTGCATGCATGCCTGCGCACCGTGTGTGTGCCTGGTGCCCTCAGAGGTCAGATGAAGGCATTGTACCCCCTTCCTATAGGCTCCAATGCCACCTGCCCGCTCTCCCACAGGTTCCAGCCACCCACCCTGGTGCGCTTTTCCAGGGAAACACATTTCCTCCTAGTCCCCTGACAGCCGCACAAGCTCTCTAGGTCACTAGGCTGCTGCTGGTCCCACAGCTCCATCTGGACAGGACTTCCTACCTCAGCGGCCGCTCCTTTCCTAACGGTGCCCCCAAGTACCAGCCTCTGTGCTAACTAGGCCCTCTGGTTCAGCCCTTCCTGGTCACCTCTCATCACTACCCCCACGGCTGCTGACTCAGCATGTTGTTGCATCCTTTAACTCCCCTTGAGAGCGGGGTCACTGTGGAGCTGTTGAGGTCTGCCCATCTTTCTAAGCCAGGACTTCCCCCCTTTTCCTCTTTTCTGCCGCTTTCAGAGGAACCTCTTCTAGAGCTACAGCAGACCAACTTACTTTCACGTAGATAACAATTCCCAAAACTTCTCAAGGGCCAGGCCAGTGGTTCTCAACCTTCCTCATGCTGTGACCCTTTAATCCAGTTCCTCGTGTTGTGGTGACCCCCCAACCTAAAATTATTTTCGCTGCTACTTCATGACTTTGATTTTGCTACTGCTATGAATTGTGATGTAAAGATCTGATATGCAGGATATCTGATATGTGACCCCTGTGAAAGGAGCCATGTGACCCAAAGGGGTCAAGACCCACAGGTTGAAAACAGCTGGGGTAGGCCTTGTCCAAACTGTTTATGTGCCTCACTCACAAAATCCTCTCAGTAGCACATCATGCTCAAGTCTGTGAAGTAGATGTTATTTTTGGTGCCAATATATAGGCTGAGGCAACTTGAGTATGAAGGAGTCTAAGGGTGTAGCCAGATCTTTGTGTAGTAGGAGGAAGGCCCAGACTCCAACCGAGACTGTTGATGTTTGGAGTGCTTTGTCTCCCAGAACACTCTGTCACCAGGCCACCACAGGAACACAGGACTGACACCTAATCTTTCCCCAAGAACAGGTCATGTAACAAGTAGATGCATGTAGGTGAGTGCATACGTGCATGCGTGCGTCTGTGCGTGCGTGCATATGTGCTTTTGTGTAGAAACAGATGCCTGAGCTGGGTGGTGGTGGCGGCGGCGGCGGCGGCGGCGGCGGCGGCGGCGGCGGCGGTGGCACACGCCTTTAATCCCAGCACTCGGGAGGCAGAGGCAGGAGGATCTCTGTGGGTTCAAGGCCAGCCTGGTCTAAAAAGTGAGTTCCAGGAAAGGCGGAAAGCTACACAGAGAAACCCTGTCTCGAAAAACCAAACCAAACCAAACAAATAAACAAACAGATGCCTGAAGAGGGAAGGCAAGGCACACAGGAGGACACCCCGGAGGATGGAAGGCAAAGAGAAAATTGGCTTTCCTCCACCCTCCTGGCTGTGGAGGGAAGTGACCAGGAGAAATAGAAAGGAAGGAGGTGAGGCGTGAGGGTTGGAGAGAAGAGGAGGAACGGGCGTCGGGGGAGGTGGAGGGGAGGGGCTGGCTGCAGAGCTGGCAGGTGGCTCAGAGGTGCACACCCCCCTCTGGCTGGCTGTTCAGATCCACGGTGACAGCTGCAGGCTAAGCCATAGACGACAAGAGCAATTGGCTCGTGTCTGCAGCCGTCTTCATTTATTTTTATTATTATTAATTATTCTAACGTAGGGTGTTGTTTGCTCTATGGCGCTGCTCCTTGTGGCTGCTGCATGGGAGGAGCGTGCTGATTGAAAGAATCACAGCCATGGATACATTTTTAGAGCTTTATTGGGGGGGAGGGGAGAAGAGGAAGGTGGAGAGGGAGAGGGGGGACCAACGGAAGGAAGGAGCGGAAAGGAGAGGGGGCGCACAGAGGGCCCACCCGCTTTTTTTTAGGCTGGGACGCTGTTGAAGGCTGATGACGTAATTGAGGACCGAATCCTTACATAGGGTCTCACGGATCCCAGGCTGGCCTCACACTCACTATATTGCCAAGACCGAGCTGTTGATCTTCCTGCCTTGGCCTCTGGAGTGCTGGGGTTACTGGGGTGGTCCACCACACCTAGTGTATGTGGCACTGGGGATCGAACCCAAGGCTTTGTCTTCTTGCGTGCTAGGCAAGCACTCTACCAGCTGGGCTACATTCTTGAGTCCCACCTGCTTCTTACTGACCCATTTTTCCCAAAGGCTCGAGACACCAGTGGCCTCTCAACAAGGCTACTCAGATACTGGAATTTGGAAGGGGCCTAGGAAGCCAAGCTGGAGACCAAACACACATGCCCCTGGCAGCAGAACTCAGGTACGACCACAAGGCTGGTTCTCTGTCCAGTGACTGGACTGGCGCAGGCTAAGGCTCGGGGAAGGAACAGAACCAACCACAAGGCCCCAGGGGTGCCTAGTCAACACTGTGCAGTGTCCTTTAAACACTCCAGAGAAAACAGAGACAAAGGGTTTCCTTCCTCCTCCCTCACATTAGAAATTCCCCTGAGGTTCTCTCAGGAGCCATGTGTCTGTCTTTGCCATCCTAGGCACTGGTCGGAGTTCTTAAATGACCATAAACAGGAAAAAGGGAAGCAAGTTCAAAAAGATGTGTGGCCTGCTGGGGGCTGGGGAAGGGAGGCGGGGGTGGGGGCAGGAGTGTGCTGATTTATGACACCCTGTGAACAAAGCAGAGGAAACAGATTTGTCTGTGTTGCATTTGATGGACGTGGGAGCTGGGACCAAAAGCCTGGCTGTGGAACCCAGAGGGAGACAGGGTGAGTGGGAAGGGAAGGGAGGAGGAGGAACTCGGAAAATCGGAGTCATCCTGACTTGTCTTCACTTCCCCTGCCTCTCCCTTCCGCAGGCTGCGAGCTCAGAGTCAGTGAGTCCTTCCTTCCCCCTTGCATTCACATTCTCTCCATTTCCTGAAGCCCCACTGCCCGATTCCAAATCCTTCCTGCCTCTCATGACTCAGGGGTAAGGTTAGGGTGGTCTCTGTAGCTTCAGTTTCTCCTGCTCCAACTCATCTTTCTCAACACTTGTAGTCTGGCCTCCTAGAAGGTTCTCCACCTCACTCTCACACGGTGCCACTTTTTCATGGCTCCCTGCTTGGCTCCACTTCTTACTTTGCTGTAATAAAAAGAGATGAGCGTTTAATAGCTGAGACCTCAGTGCCTCTGAGTAGCTGGTACTGGGGAGTAGATGGGTATTCTAGGAGGCTGTTCTACACTTTGTAAACCTTGTCTAGAATAGCACACAGGTTAGTTAGCATCACCCCTGTTCCTCGGGAGCATTTATCCCGCCCCACCCACCACTTCCCCTGTCACAATCCCCCAATTTCTCCAGACATTGTCAAATGTCTCCTGGGGGCCCAGACTGCCTCTGGTTAAAGTCCACTCACCTAGAGACAAATTGCTACTCTGTCATTTGCTGATTTCCCTTAGGTCCGTGATATAAGTTCTCTAAACTTCAATTTCCTTAATATCAGCACAGGGGTAAGTAACATCTACCTTAGGAGCCATTGTGGGAAGTGAATAAAAGGATTCCTAACCTGTGACAAATCGTCAAACACAACACACACACACACACACACACACCACACACCACACACACCTGTGTTTCCTCAGTTTTGTTTACAGTGGCTCAGGCCCCGCCAGAGTCTATCTGGTACCTACATGTTGAATGAATGGACGAATCTCCAGTTCACTCCTGCTTCATCTGGAATTCCTCTCTCTCCAAACCCCGCCCTCTCTGAGAATCTCCAGCAAGGGAAAGGCACCAAAAAGCCCAGTTGTGCATTCTTGGTGGCTTCAGCAGCTCCTCCCTTCAAGTTGCCAGCAGCCCAAGACCCGGCTAAAGCCCTCAGTTTTTGAGCAGACTTGGGCGCAAACCCAGCTTGTGGAGGACACATCATCACCCCTCACCTAAGGTATATAAGCTCCCTGCTTTAGTTTGAGCACATGACTTCTCCTGCCTTGATCTCTGGGGCTCGAGAACTTACCTAGGCGTTGCTTTGCTCAAATAAACCTGTTCTTTTATTTTTCCAGTTTGTCTTGATCTGGCTTAAATCTATTATCGGGGTACAGAAAACCTGTTAGAATGAGCAAATGGATAGAAGAAATAACCCAATATCAAACCCAAGAAAAAGAGAATATCATTTTTGTTCATTTTTCCCCCCACACAGGGTCTCATTATATAGCCTTGGCTGGCCTTGAACTTGGAATCCTTCTACCTCAGACTCCTGAGTACTGGGATCCCAGGCATGCAGCACCCACCACACCCAGAACAATACTTACTGCTCTTGAGCTATTCTTTCCTCCAAAAGACCTTGGTTAATTGTCACTCTGTGCAGTACAAACCAGAGGCTCGGCCCCAATGTCGCCCCACTCTGGAAGTATCCCCAACAGCAGCTATCTACCTGTTAGTATAAGAGATAAAATAATGGTGCATTTGAGAAGCTAGGACTGGCTAAAGGGAAACAAAGACATCCAGCCACAGGAAACTGGACAGTACTTGGCTTTTAAAAAAAAAAAAATCAAGAACTCACTTCCCCAGGAATGACATGAATCTGTTCTGGAGGCTGGGACACTCCCAGCCTTATCACCTGTCAACAGCTTGCCTCTTAATCACAAGGACAATTAGAGGTCAATGGCTGCTTTGGAGAGGGACATTCAAACCATAGAGGGCTTCTTAGGAGCTTCTGAATGTCATTGGGGGATCCTGTCCTGTCCATAGCAAGCGGAGTGGGGATGCTCAGAAAATATCTATCTAAAAGACACAGAAAGAGAGTAGCCACAGAGTTTACTGCTGGCCTTAGGACCTCGGGATACATTTTGACACGGATACTCTCCTTGCTTCTTTTCAGCTCTCCGGGTTCTATATTAGTCCTTTTTGACCACAAGCACCTGAAGGAAGAAAGAGTTCTGTTTTGGCTTATAGTTCCAGAGAGATGAGTCCTTCATGGGGGAGGGGGGGGACACGGGGACGTGACAGGAGAGAGTAATGGGATAAATCCACAGAGTCTATTTAATCATCAAAGGAATTTATTTGGGGGTAAACTCACAACCATGAGAGATTTATTGTAGAGTCCGGGAAAGCTGAGCTATGTCCCGCAATGAATGGCTTGGCCCAAGGTCTCAGCATCCAGAACCACAAGGTAGCCAAGCAGAAGGGGTGTAGGTGGTGCATCCCTGGTCCTAAGGGTCCGCTGTCATAGGCAGGTGTAACAGGTACAACTGCGTCATTGGGGCAGGTGCTTCAGGACGTGGCTCAAACAGCTGCTCACTACATCTCCCCCTTTTGTCTAAATAAGAAAGTTCTAACCTGACACAAAACTATATACAATAGGAATGATTATCAAGGAGAAATAAAGGGTAATGACATAAACAAATGGAACTACAACCAACAAGAGCAACATCAAACGAGAGACACACGCTAAAACCCAACGAAGTCCAGAACATTGGTAAGTGGTATGTTGAGAGATTATTCCAAAAGCTGTCCTATCCTGAAGAATCTGATTCTAGTACTTAGTTTGTTCTAGCTAAGATACGAGAAGATTGTAGCTGTAACTATTAGTCCTCAGTCCCATCAAAGACCTGAGAAGGAATATAATAACACCTGAGAAAATGAGAAATGTAGACAAGCAATTTTGGGAAATCTTTCGAGAGAGTGATTTCTTACAGACTTGTTACAAACAAGCATCCTTTTCCTGAGATCATACACTTCTCTTCCCCAGCAGTCACTATGGAGTCTGTGAGGTCTGCCCATCTTTCTGAGTCTGAGCTTTTGTTTTTCTTCCTGCCTTTTTCTTTCAGATGCCAGCCAGAGCCTAATTAGGCTTTCTCTGGTACTTTTGGGCTTTTCCGCCCTTTCTCTGACACTACCTCCCATTTGCCATTTGGCTGTTTGCTGATCCTCCATACCCATCTGCAAAAGGCATACCTTTCTCTTCCTTTTCTCCATCTCCCCCAGGCAGCTGCCAGGATTTAAAGCTTGCTTGCCCTGTGGTGTGGCCTTTCTTTTAAATTCTAATGTAATTGTTCTCATGCTTTAAAAAATAAATAAGCTCTCCTCACACTATCAATCGCTCAATTTAAACTGTCAGGACCTAGCTAATTATGGCAGAGTCTAGCCATAAATGTTGAACAGATGGATGAATGAATAAATGAATGGAGGAGAAATACCCAGGCCTCTAGGCTAGTTTGGTTTATTCAAAGAGGAAACGGGGCTTTCCAATTTAGAACTTGCAACTGAAGTGAGCCAATTTCAGGGTCCTTAGCAGAAGGCTCATCACAGAAATTGGAAAGGGACTGTTAGGCACAGGCCCTTTTAACACAGACCCATGTGTGGAGGGACCCCAAAACAGCTTGACCACACAGCTGCCATGACAGACTTAGAGGCCCAGACACAGCTTCTGTGGCAGGCTTACTGGCAGGCAACACCCAGACCCAGGAAAAGCCATAAGCTGACCCCAGCCAGGGAGGGCCTACATCCAAGGGGAAGTACCTGACATCCCAAACATTCCAATCATTAGATAAGGAGGCCAGATGTCCCAGAGTCTAGCACACACCTGCTTTTGTTTTATAGATACCCCTAGACAAATGTCAGCCAATCAGGGTCCTGAACCCTGGAAATCCTATCACCCCAACCACTGCAATGATAAAAACTCTACCCTGCCTGGGCTCTCTGCTCTCACAGCTGCATCCGACAGAGACCAAGCCCTGGAGCTTGAAAATAAAGGCTCTTTGCTTTCACATATGGAATTTGGTCTCTGTGGTGGTCTTTTGAGGGGGTCCCTGAGATCTGGGCATAACACCTTTAAGCTCTTGGGAGACTGGGTCCCCTTCTGGAAGGGTGGAAAAGGCTCCATCCGTATTTTATTTCGCTCTTTTGCTGTCACCTTAGAGATTACACACGCCTCCTTCATCATCCCACTCATAGCCACAGCCTCAAATTCAAGCTCAAGAGGTGTCCTTCAATCAGGCTGGACTTTATCACCGAGCAGAGCGGTCACAACCACAGCCTGGGTGTCTGTGAGGCGAGGGGTCCTGTGGCAGAGCGTTGGAGCTTGGAGATAGCTCACTGCTGAGTAACACAGGGGACCGCAGGAGTGGAAACAACTGTCTAGATGACAAGTAAGTTCGGGGCAAGAAAAGCCATTCTAGCAAGCTTCCCATCTCACTGCCGCCACACCGCCTCCTGAAGCAAGGGATGATTTCGGTGGAGGGATGGGCTCACAAAGGGGGAGGGGCAGACAGGCCCTGCGGATCTGTTACAGGAGGTGACTTAAAGAGGGCAATGATCATGGGTTAAACTGTTTGTTTTGAGGATGAAGAGTCCTGGGTTTGAGCTCAGGCAAAAAAAACCGGACCTGAGTCCTGTGTGACCTTGAAAGGTGACTCCAGCTCTCTAACCCTCAACTTCCTTGTTTGCAAAATGGAGATAAAAGGCCATTAAAGTAATCCGTGTGAAGCACCCACCACATTTCGAAACAGACACCGAATAAGCCCTGGGTTTATGTTAGCAATCATTTTTATCTACAGCAGTTTTTCTGTTTAATTTTCATACCTCCTTTTTAAAGCAAGGGACAACAGGAACTCAGTTTTTTGCTCAAATCTATTTATTTTCACATTTGATAATCTCCTTCCAAGAATCCCATCGCTGTTCTGAACTCTGGGGATACCACAGCAAAAAAAATCACAACAACTTCTGCTCTCAGGGCTGGACAGACAGTTCAGAGGGTTAACAGCACATGTTCTTATAAAGGACCTGCGTTTGGTTCCCAGCACCCACATCTGGCGGCAGCTCACAACTCCCGTAAAGCTCCAAGGGATCTGATAGCTTTTTCTAGCCACCATGGACATTGCATGGACATGTATGTACACATAACTAAAAGTAAAAATAAAACACTTAAAAAAAAATAAACAAGCCAGGCGCTGGTGGCGCACGCCTTTAATCCCAGCACTCGGGAGGCAGAGCCAGG